ATTCCCATCACAAAAATAGGGAAAATAAAAGTATTCGTATTGGATTCTGATCTCTGCGGTTACTGGTCCACTCTAAAATACTATGACCAGTAATATTTGTTTCCCAGAGTCTGGGGTCCATTATCTGTAGGCTTATAAAACTAGAATGAAAGGGAGTAGAGAGAAGGCAGATTTTGCCTCCTGGATGCCCCTGTCCACTCAGCAACAGCCTGGGTAGCTGGGGGTGTGGAATGTGGTGCTGGCACCGGTACTGGGCTAGATGCAGCCGTGTGGGCCCCGAGCATTCCTTTCCCCACGCTGCTCCTGCCTGGGAGGGGAAAGGGAACGAACTCAGCCTGATTGGGTGAATTTTACATATTTATCTGTGAGGGAATGGCAGTACCTGTGGGGAAAATCTCTGAAAATTTGGCTCAATATCCATTTGAGTGCCTCCTACCCCTTTTCTGTATGACTTTGCTTTCTGCTTAACCTCTACATAGGCTTCCACATTGCTTTCCTTTCAATTTCCCACCCAACCAAACCAGGACTCCTTATACTGTTTCTTATTTCTATTATCCAGTTTTAATTAACCCCATCCTTAATAATAACCTCGGTATGCATTTTAATTTTAACCTTAATTGAATTCTAATTTCAGTCCTAACCCTAATCTATTACAAATTCTAACTACTAATCCTACTGCCAACCCCAATTTAATTGCCAATTTTAACCAGCATCTTCATTTTAACCAGTTTTAAGCCAGAAACTACATCAGCAATTTGTACATAATAAAAATAATCACAGACCACCCTGGAGTCTTCTCCCAAGCCTTGGACCAAATGGAAATAAAGCTTGGTGCAGCACCTAAAAAAAAAAAGTCACAAGTACCATTATTGACAACCTATATGTCAGACTTTGCGGTAGGAGCTTTACATATGCAGCATCTCATTAAAGTGTCAGAGAGTACCCTAATGTATTTGAAATAATCAGGGTAAGGAAACAAAGGTCCGACAAGATTGTGTAATTTGTAAGTAGTGGATCCCAATCCAGGTCTGCCTGAAGTGAAAGCCTGTGCTCATTCCTCTTTCCACAAACAAATACTTTTTAATGGGCCTTCTCTTAAAATCCTAACGAAGATGAGATATCTTCTGAAATACTGAGTTTCTTCAAAGCCTATTATTATGGGTTTAATTTTATTAAAAAATAAATGTTGTTACACAATACAAACCCACCAAGCAAACAAAAAACTAAAATATCCCTGCCCAGAGACCCCCATGGATACTTTAAAACATTAAAGTAATTTATTTATAAAGTTAAAATATTCCAACTATAGACAGGAATAAATGGAAAAGGAAAGCCTCCTGTCTGTCCCGGTGTCACCATATTGCACAACCCCAGGGGGTATTGTTTGAATTGGAGTTGTGCAAAGCAGCAGCACTGCCTCCCATGGCTTATCAGAAAAGCAGATAAAGTCAAGGTAAATATCTACCAAATTAAATCATCCTAGATATACGACTTAGGTGAAAGAATTGCTGGGCAATGTGTCTTCCATACTAGCAATAACTATTAAAGGCCAGACTCTATACTAGGCTTTTTACATTTATTACCCATTTTAATATCCACTGGAGTATTCATTTAGCCCTATTTTACAGATGAGGACAGTGAGGTTCAAAGAAGCAAAATGACACACCCAAGAGCATGAAGATGGTGAATGAGAAACCCAAACGTCAAGCCTAAATTTTCAACCTCTGTATTTAGCTAGGACGGCTCCTCAGAGAAGGGGTCATTTAAGCTTGATTCTGAAGAAGAGCTGGGGAGTTGCTTGGTTGTTAGAAAAGAGGATGGCCTCTCAGACTGCAGATGGACTCAGATTGTTATGGGAAGGGGAGAAAGAGATAACTAGTTCACAGAGGGAAATGAGGAAAAGGTGAGAGAGTCATAGGGGAATAAAGAAAACCTGAGCAGAGACCCGGAAAAGAATTTGTGATAAATTCAGGCAAAAATAAATTCATATAATAAATACGTTCGTCACTGTTACTCCAGCTACAGGCTGATTGATGTATTATGGAAAGACAGCAGACACACATAATCATCTGCAAACAAAAATACATATTTCCAGCTATATGGTATCATGTATCCAATGAAATACTTTTGTG